CTCTCACCATTCGGCCTGGTATCTTAGCGTACATTAAGTGATTATACAGGAATTCAAATTCATTCCCTCTTTTTTTAATAAGAATCTTTGTGTCTCTGGAAAACCTCTTTTATAGTGGTTTATGGTACAAGACAGTTAAATATCTGAGATAAAAACAACAATCTCAGCAAATCTCATGACTTCTCAGGAGTTTGGTACAGCTGGGGCTAGTACTACTGTTTAGTGTAGCATCATTCGGAAACAGACATAAATTCAGTTTTAATATGGCATAAGCTCTGGCAAAAATTGCCCTGAAAATAAAAATGAAAAGATGCCTAATAGTAAGTCTGTTGTATCTACTTGGTGACTAAAATAAGTGACACCAGTGAAGTAGGAAGCATATTGTGCATATCTTGATGGATCCTCTGTGTTTTTCTCTCAAAATCTTTGTTTGAAATAATTGATTGAAACACAACCCCACAGAGTATGTAAAATTGTTTCTCCCTGATTAGCCTTGACCACTCGGACAAGAGGTAAAAAAAAGTCAACCATTTTCACATCAGAAAAGCTCACGTGGATTCTCAGCTAGTAAAAAAACTAAGCACAAATTACTGTTAGACCTTACGGTGGTAATAGAAATACCTCCTGCTGTGCCTCCACTCGAATTTGTCCTGGGTAGTGGGATATGTGCTCTCTGCTTGCTTCAGTGCCTGAGCTCTATGTAGTTCTCCTTGTATTTTAATGTCTTCATCCCCAGTTGTAGAATTCCTAGTGTTTCTTGCATACTTAGACCTGTAATTTCTGCTTTAGTCTATAAAGCCAACTCATCTTTCTTCCTTCGCTGAATGGTTACTTTTTATAGAAAAGTATTTAGGTAAGGAGAGACAATTTGGGCTTTTATGGCTTTTGAGAAATATGTTGCATCATGGCTCTTAATTACAAGAACAGGTAAATAACTGTGTAAAATAACTAAGGTAAAAATACTATGCTAGCAGCATGTTCCATTTGAAATTGCGTGCCTAATTCTCCTTGTGAGAAACCCATTTGCCTCCTAAAGTCACCATGTGGGTTGTTAGGTAAGAATCCTGACTTTTGGCTCTCCCTGCATCTTGCATCATTAACCAGCTTATATCAGAAAGATGGCTATTATGGATTTTGTGTGTGCTATAGCTTAGGGATTCATGCCATAGAGATTTGAAGGATTCTCTCTGAATACTGTGTCAGAGGAGGATATCTGTATCTTGTGGAGTTTGAGATATGACTTCAAAAAAGATGAAGACTACTAGACATAATCCAGAGGACAGCAGTGAAGATGATCAGAGGTGTAGAAAACACAGCAGATGAAGAATGTCTTTCAATCTTCAGGTTTGATTGTTTAGTCTAAAGAACAGAAATTGAAAAGAAATTCATAGCCTTCAAGGGTGTACACGTTCTCTGCAAAGAAGGAGAGAAACATTCCTCATGTCCACTGGGAGCAGAGCAAAGAGTAGTAGGTTTAAATTACAACAAAGGAGATTTAGGTGAGACATTATGGGGAAAAAAAAAAGAACCTTTCTAGCGTAAGGATAGTTAAGCACAAGAATTGCCTAGGGAGGTTATGAAGAGGTTAGACAAACATCTGTCAGAAATGATTTAGGTAGAGCTAATCCTGCTGTGAGATAAAGTGTTGGGCTAAATAACCTTCTGAGGTCCCTTCTAGCACTGTTTTCTGTGAAACTGTGATGAGGATACTGCACTCATTTTGTCCTGCGGTAAGATGTTTCCATGCAGGGATTATGTGACTGTATCATGCCAAAAATGTTCTTCATTTTTGCTTTAAGACGATGGGTAGAATGATGGTCTGATATTCAAAGTGTGTGAGCTTTACTGTCTTAATAACTTGGCGCAGGGGGCTTCTTCAAGAGCTTGTTTTCAGTCCCAAAAGGAGCTAAGTGTTCGGGCTTCATTCTAAACATCTAAACATCTGCCCTATGAGAAGGGCAGATGAGCCGCATCTCAGAAACAGTGGCTCTTCCTATGTCTTTTGAACATGTAGGCAACATCGGCTCAGTTTCTGCCTATAAGGGCAGTGCAAGCAGAAAAATAAAATATCCATGAAAAGAAATGTATCCTAGCTTCTCCAATAGTGAAACCAAATAAAAGCTGAGTGTAACACTAGTTGTGAAGTATCCTGGATTTGACAGATAGCAATATTAAAGCATCCCATACTATCAGCGTTACTTCATCAGGAAGACCAGGAAAGGCATCAGTTTAAGACCGTCCTTGCTCACTGCAACGTGCAAATCCCTTAACTTTGTTCCCCAGTTCGGGGCTCGGCTTCCCAGCCAGGTTTGTGCCCAGCATTGCATCTGTGTGCCAGGTGGGCTGCCACTCAGTCACATGGTGGTGAGGCTGGAAAGCCTCTATCTGCAAGAACAGGGAATAGGAAAGTTCAGCTACTAAAGAAACTTTGAAGAAGCTGGTCTTGCTCTACGTGTAATGTTGGCAGAGACTGCGTGTGAGGCCACTGCCTTTGCAAAGCCCAGGTCAGCATCGCTTCGGAGGACAGGAGCATTGCGCTCTATAGCAGTGGCGCGGCCACCATTTGGTGGGACACCTCTCAAATCCAGCAGGGAAAATAAGACAATCCTTGAGGTCTGTTGATTGTCTAGAAAATTTAACGTTCATCCTCAGATGCTATCCACAGTGTAATCTTAGTGTAATCTGCTATTAGTGTAATAGTGTAATGTACTATTCATAGTAAAGAATTTCACTAATGAAGGGTCCTCTTTCAACTCTGGGCATACCTATTCTGCCTACCTGTTTGCTCTCCCTGGGCACAGTGCCCAAATATACCTTTGGACGCTGTCCTTCCTCTGTCCCCCTGTCCCTTCAAAGTGCATGAGGATGTTACTGGTTGGTGTCATGCTGTCCTCCAGCAGATTGTGTGTGGTCCCTCAGAACTGAGCTAAGAGCAAATACAGACTTTTTAAAAGTACATGTTGTTTAAAAATGACAAATGCAGAATGCTCTGCAGGATCTATCTGCTAATATTTTAAACATTTTTAATATAGTTAAATAAAAGAGATTTTAATAAAGCAGCAATAGTTTTAATAATGACAAGTGCGTTTAATTTTACCTGGGGAAAAATAATGAAAATTATAACCTTTGCTGTACTTTCACCGAAGCAGATACTTTGCAGATTTATTTGAAACCCTGAAGCACCCGTTTGAAGCAGAGTTTCAAATAGGGCTTGTTTACCTTGCAGCATTTGTGAATCCAACAGAAGTATTCTCATTTAAAAAAAAAAAAAAGGGAATTTCTTTCCCAGCCTGCTGGATATTTCTTTCCCAGCCTGCATGTTCTCCATGGAGAACAGTGGGATGGGCAGGAGAGGCAGTTGGGCAGGAGTCCGTGCTTCCCGGGCACGGCCGTGGTACCACAGCCTGCTGGGGTTGGGAGGTGGTGTGTCTTCCTTCCTCTCCTCCCATGGTCATCACTTGACCCTGTCTCTATTGATAACCCATTTTTTTTCAAAAGCTATGCCTTTCTAAAGCGATAGGAATATAGGTGTAACTGGATGTCATGTTGTCAGAATCTATTTCAAATAGTTTTGAGAGATACAAGTACTTTTAAAGTGGTAAGTATGCCAGAACTAACAGTATTATCAGTTTGATTTACTGCCAGCCAATCAGCTTTACAAAAAATAATCTCCAAGCTTGTGAAATATCTCCCTAAAATTTGTAATTTTTTACTCTCTCAATAATCAGAAAAAAGTTTCAGATTTATCTTTCTTATTCCTGAAGCTGATTCAGGAGTTTACTGGTTGAAAGGTACCTCAGAGATTGCCCTGTTTCACAGGAGCATGTATATTGGAGAGAAAGGTTATCAAAATCATGAGTTATAAAAAGTCAAAAAAAAAAAGGGTGATCTTTAGGCATTTTCGTTGACATTTCTAACTAAGACTGTCAGAGAGGAAATGTAGTTATGTTAATATATTGAATCATTAACACACGATGCCCGTATCATAATGGAACTTAGGCAGTGATGATTCCCATCAGATGCCACTCGATATGTATGGCATGTTTGTTTGTCTGATGCACTGAGAAATACCTGTATCTATTTCATTTCAGCTTTGAGCTGACACTTCAATTTTAAATCACCTACCAAACACCTTAGCTTAAACCTGAGCTTCTCCTTGATACTCCTTGTCTTTTGTCATCTCTCTGTATGAGTACACTGAAAGACATTATAGGCAATCTGCTGTAGTGTCTGTACATGGTACATTTGACCTCTGGAGAAGAAGAGTTTCATCCTCCAGTGCTTTTAATTCTTATCCTTGCAGAGACTGAATTTGTTGCTTGAATTAAAATAGTATGTCTCGTTAAGACTAAGATGCAGTGACCCACATAGCACAGTGGATACATTTGTCAATGCAGCAACTTCAGGGCTTTCAGTTCATGTATGTCTTAGCAGCAAATCAACACAGAAATCAATCGATCAGGCTGCCAATGAGTGGGTCCTTCTTGTCAGTATTCTGCATCTCACTGGGTGACACAAGGCAGGGCAGATTTGGATTTAATAGTACGTAGTCAAGCTCTAAAAACTCTAGATTCCAAATTCCCCACTCAAACACATGCAAATCTTATGACCAGCAGGAACTGGAAGTTGTCTTGAATTTTGAGGCTATTCATGTCCTGATTCTGAACTTCAGAGTGCAAACTTGTCCCTCTTTGCTAGCAGTTCTGAAATACTCAAAATGCAGCCAAAGCAGGGGCCACGTGTCTCCCCCACAGCGAAACAAGCTCTCAGTACTCCGTGCTATTCCCACAGGCTGAGGCTAGAGCCTGAACAATTTATAACAGCCAGTGTATGCAAATGTCAATTATATCTTATTTTTGTTTATTTCCAATATTTATATGTGTATTTAAGTACTTGCCAATTTCTTTTAAACATGATGCAGTCAAATAGGCAAACTGAGGTCTAAAGGAACAGAGCACTTTATTAGTGATATGCTTAATACAGTTTTTTTCCTCTTGTAGATGCAAGATTTACGGAATACAGAAGGAGCCCAGTATAGTTCCCATCCTCAGATGGCAACCATGAGGCCAAGGGTTCAACCTGCAGATATTAGGCAGCCAGGAATGATGCAGCACGGGCAGCTGACTACTATTAACCAGTCCCAGCTCAGTGCACAGCTTGGTTTGAATATGGGTGGAAACAATGTTCCTCACAACTCACCCTCTCCACCTGGAAGCAAATCTGCAACTCCTTCACCATCCAGTTCAGTCCATGAAGATGAAGGAGAAGATAGCTCTAAGGTAGGCTTAGATGCTAGGATTACAATGTCAATGGTGGATAATTTTAGGACCTGCTAAATGAATCATATGGCCACAGTTATTAAGGTGATACTTTTTAAATTGTTGATGATTGAATGAAAAAAAGGGTTATGAATACACATCTTCCAATTTCCACTCAGTTCTTCAGGCAGCTTGAGTAAATGACATCATTTGTCTTTGAGAGAACAAACTGGAATCCTGTAAAAGATTAAAGGATAGCCATTCCTGTAGGACTTCAATATAAAGGTTGAGGTTTCTCACTTGCATAGAATGCATGCTTCTTCCAAGTTAAAGATCAAGCAATTACTCCTACAAAAATGGGAAATGTGTGCACAATATGCTAATCTTTGCAACCTGATCACAAGAGGAGTTAACATCACAGCAGTCAGAATATAAAGATAACTTTAAAAGTCTTGTCTTGAAAACATCTAAGGCCCTAATGGGGTCCTAATGCATTTATACTTTTGGAGGTGGTGATACTCCAGCATGACATATTTAAGCTTCACTTTAGTGTCACTGCAGCATAAAGTAACAATAAGAAGAAAGTAATACATAATAAATGCATTTAAATTATAAGTAACAATTTATACAGCAGCTTGCATGCAAAAACCTCCCAAACACTCAGCGTTAAGCAAGTCTATTATCTTAATTTTGAACACAAAAAGATTGTGACTTAGCACAAAGACATCCAATAAACTGGAAACAGAGCATATTGAAATTGAGTACCTCTTAGCTCTGTTTTATGATCACAAGAAAATAGCAGTCCTATTATGCAGGAGTGAAGATGTTGTAACATAGCCATAACTTGTGAGAAAAAGTTGCAGACTTGCAAGGAATGTGAAAAAACACATTGTGAGTCACTGAGGAGGTATAATCCAGTCAAGAAATGTAAGTCTGATTTGTTTTCAAATTATATTGTTTTTCATGCCTCAAGCTATAAAATAATCATGTAATTGAAAACATATGTTTTACTAGTTTTGAATAAATTCTGATTCAAAGTTTTATTTCAGGACTTTACCCTGATTTCACAAACTTTAGGTTTTAAAAGTTACTGAATAATTCATACATTTTAAATGAGCAGTTCCTTACTGAAGGAGACTTTAGAATACAACTATGCAAAAATAATTTCAGTCAGCCTTTACTTTTTCAGAATAATTTATTTGCCTCTCCTATTTCTTTTCTAATATTTCTATATATTGGTGGGATTGTGCAAGATGCAGAGAGAAAGGCCATTGTAATAATCAAGGTATCCTTTTTTCTTTTATTGAGTACTTCAATTAGTTATCCCCTATGTGTGAGTGTATACATTTTTTCAACACTTCATGTTAGCAAAAATGAAGGATTGTGGTTTCATGCAGACAATGACTCATCTGAAGCAAATATTTTCAATAATGAAACCAACCTCTGCATACTGAGTGAGACTTGGTCCTGCCTCAGTGGAAGGCAGTTTATATAGTGTAGGTCTTTTTAACAAGCCATGTTATTTTGGAAACCTCTCTTTAAAATTGCCTTAGTCTTGAGTAGAAAAGGATCAGAAAAGGGAAAACACACAACACAAGATTAGAAAGAAAAACTAGAAAATAGGCAAAAGATTGATAGATTATGTTCAAATTCTTCCATAATTATCATTTTGTGTGCTAACAATAATGTTTTAAAGAATCTTAAAAATGATGACAGAGGGCTTAAAGTAGTCTCTGACTAATAGGGATTAAACTGCAAGCTTGATGGGGGGCAGATTATGCTGCATCTGTCTGCTGTGGGATTTCTTACCTCTTCCTGTTAAATGCCTGAAGTTGGCCACAACTGGAGATGGTGCACTGGGCTAGAATGGCTGATCCGATATAATAGTTCCTTTATCCCTCTGTAAAAGCCAAATCAAAAGGAGATTTTGATTAATCAGTATAAGAAAAAAATGCATTGCTGTAGTTTACGACTTGAATCCCTTTGTTGAGTATCTTCCTCTCATAGTGGTCTTCCTGGAAGCTGCCAATGAAGGGAAACAGATACTTAATATAAACCAGTTTTCTACTGAGATTTTTTCTATATATATATATATTCTTTTTCTATCTATATGTTTCTCAGAGCTGCTCTGGAGTGAAATGTGAAGGTTCTTCTCATTCCAGAAATTCTCTTCCTAGTGAAAGAAAATGCTGGACTCAGACAGGAAGCCATAGGACAGCAGCTCTGACTCTTATGAGAGCTGTATCTTTTACCTTCAGATAACTTCGCTAATTTTGGGAGGTTCTCTTTATTTAATAAATTGTCCTGTAAATGTGCAAAATGATTTAGTAGATCAAAGCCAGAGTTCATTATTGAATTGTTACGTGACAGAGCACACATTGAAGTCATGTGGTGGCTACCAGAGATGATCATAGTTGAACAGATTTCAGAGCACAGCTTCACAAAATCAGTTCCAGCCTTGAGGACTGTGCATTATTAATAACAACAATAGTGGTATTGACCGTGTGCATTATTAATAACAACAATAGTGGCATTCTGCTATATAGTTGGGAAGAGATGTTGGCCCATTCCTTTACCAACATTGACCAAAAAGACAAAGTATATTTTCAAATGCTATAGGTCTCCTTTAGTTCTATGTCAGATGATATTCATAAGTTTGTATTAGACAAATACCCAGCCTTATGTCTAACAGAGAATCCACTGAACCTTTGATAGCAGATTTATTAGAGAAAAGCTTAGCAATAAAAATAAAGAAATGTTAGTGTCCTGTTTATGTTTGAATGAATTTATGAAATGAGATGACCAAGGGTATAAACAAATATATGCCTTTGGACTAGAAATATAATTGATCCCTATTGCTCCATCGATTTGAGTGCATGTAGGAAATTACGGTAAAGACATAATGTGTATAACTCAAATACCAGCAGAGAAGAAACTTT